AGGCTCTTATGCTTAGGCTAGCGCCTGGCACATAGAATGTGCCCAAGACATGTCAGCCTGCATTGTTGCTGCTGTCCCCATTTCACAGACATGGAAACTGAGGTTGAAGTCACTTCTGAAGGTCACCCAGCAAGTAGTAAATGCTGGTGTCGGAATTTGGGCTCAGTTTGTGCTCCTCTGTTCCCTCGGCTGTGATACCTACTTCATGGCTCAAGAATCATGTCTGATAACTGGGTACCCATGCAGTGGAGGAGAAGATAGGAAGACGTTTGAGAATGGTTCCGATCAAGGCTGCGCATCCATGAGCTGGTTCTCTGGGTGTCCATATCCTCACCCATAAATAGATATAATAGGGGTTGCTATTACATATAGGGGTTGCGGCATTGCTCAAAGGAATCATGGAAGGGATATAGGTTTCAAGCACATGCTCAGTAAACCTTCATCCTCTTCTCCCTTCCTTTTCCCACATCTCACACTGCTAGTAGCTTTTAGGCCACCATTATTAGTCATGAGGAATTCCAAGCTGGGAGCCATTGCTGTGGACACTTGGACTGCCTTGCTGGTACCATCCTAGCTGTCATCCTGGATACCTGCCTGATACCTGCTTATCTTTAGAGCTCAGCTTCCATCTTGAACTTGTCTCCAGCTGAGCTCCTGATAAATACCCAGATGGGCACAGCCAGGCCTGGAGCCCCAAATTCCTCTGTAGACATTGCCCATCTACAAATACTCTTCACTATGTAAAGACTTTAGAAAAGGATATTTCAGGTATCAATGCTGCTTTATGTTTTTTTACAGATTTCAACACCATATGTTAATTGTTAAATCTTTCCCTGATGACTTTTTTTTTTTTTTGAGACAGGATCTCACTCTGTCACCCAGGCTAGAGTGTGGTGGTACAGTCTTCACTCACGGCAAACTCTGCCTCCTGAACTCAAGAGGTCCTCCCTCCTCGGTCCCCTAAATAACTGGGACTACAGGCTACCACACACAACTAGTTTTTTTGTGTATCCTTTGTAGAATTGGGGTCTTGCCATGTTGCCCAGGCTATGACTTTTTAAAAACATTTTTTGGAAGAATAAAATACCTGCAGAAGTATCCAGATCATAAAAAGACAGCCCAATGAGTTTCCACTAGGTATGTATCCATGTAACCAGCGCCCAAATCGAAACACAGAACACTGCTTTCCCCTAGCACCCCAATAATGCTCCTTCCAGCACCCCCGCCCACCACACACACACACACACAAGGCCATCACAGTGCCGACTTCCAGGACATAGGTCAGTTTCGTCTGCTTATGCAGTTTATATAAATGGAGTAGTCTTGGTGTCAGATTTCCTTCACTCAACATTATGTTGATGAGCTTTGTCCATGTTTTTTGCACTTAGCAGTAGTTTGGTTATTTTTATATAGCACGGCATGAACATATTTTGTTATATGTATATATCTTATTATATCCACTTTTCTGTTGACGAACATTTGGGTTGTGTCTTGGTTTGGACTACCATGACAAAGTACTGCAGACTGGGTGACTTAGAAACAACAAAAATGGTTCCTGTAATCCCAGCTACTGGGGAGGCTGAGGCAGGAGAATCACTTGAACCCGAGAGGCAGAGGTTGCAGTGAGCCAAGATTGCAACATTTCACTCCAGCCTGAGTGACACAGTGAGACTCTGTCACAAACAAAAAAAGAAAAAGAAAACCAATAACAGAAATTTATTTCTCCCAGTTCCAAAGGCTAAAAAGTCTAAGATCCAGTGCTAGCATGGGCAGCTTCTGGGGAGGGCCGTCTTCCAGACTGCTGACTTCTCCTTGTATCCTTATAAGGCAGGGAAAGAGCGAGAGAACTGGCTGGAGTCTGTTTTAAAAGAGCACTAATCCTTTTCATGAGGCTCCGCCAATGTGACTTAATTCGCTTCCAAAGCCCCACCTCCTAATACTATCACATTGGGATTAGGATTTCAACATATGGATTTTGGGACACAAACATTCAATCCATTGCAAGTTGGTTCTAGGTTGGGATTTCAATGGATAGGTCGCTGTTAACATTCTAGTGCATCTATAGGGGTGAATATGAGAATTCATGTCTGTTGGGTACTTAGAGGAAGAATCCCTGGTTATGGTTTGTATTAGTCTGTTTTCATGCTGCTAATAAATACCTACCAGAGACTGGGTAATTTCTAAAGAAAAGAGGTTTTATGGACTCACAGTTCCACATGGCTGGGGAGGCATCACAATTATTGTGGAAAGCAAAGGAAAAAGAAAGGCACATCTTGCATGGCAGCAGGCAAGAGAGCTTGTGCAGGGAACCCCTCCTTTATTTTTTATTTATTTTTATTTTTTAAGATGGAGTTTCATGCTTATTGCCCAGGCTGGAGTGCAGTGGCATGATCTCGGCTTGCCACAACCTCCACCTCCCGGGTTCAAGTGATTCTCCTGTCTCAGCCTCCCAAGTAGCTGGGATTACAGGCATGTGCCACCACACTTGGCTAATTTTGTATTTTTAGTAAAGACGGGGTTTCACCATGTTGGTCAGGCTGGTCTCAAACTCCTGATCTTAGGTGATCTGCCTGCCTCGGCCTCCCAAAGTGCTCAGATTACAGGTGTGAGCCACTGCACCTGGCCAGAACTCTCCTTTATAAAATCATCAGACCTCAGTCTCATCAGTCATGAGACCTATTCACTTCCAGGAGAACAGTATGGGGGAAACTGGCCCCGCTCTTGATATGTGGGGATTATTACAATTCAAGGTGAGATTTGAGTGGGGACACAGAGCCAAACCATATCAGGGTTATTTTTATGTATATTTCATTTTAGTAGCTGTGCCAAACTTGTGCAGTAGTTTCTCCAGAAGCTCCTGAGGTCATACGGGAGTGAGAGAAGCAAAGACTTCAGCAGCTGCTGAAGGAAAAGAGGATGTAAGGGGGGAACGAAGACAAGGGGTGGAAATCTGAAGCTTGAGACCTTCCTGCGGTTGCCCTGAGCGGGAGACTCCGGAGAGTTTGGAGCCTGTTGGCAGTGATGTGCTCTGCAGCCTGCATTGGGGAGGGTATTGTCTGGGCTCTGGCCTGTGATAAGTGTAGGTGGCTGTTCAGGAGCAAAATATCCAGGGGAGGGAATCCACCCACGGTCTCAAATATTGAAATGTCAACATGGAGTAATTGGCTGCTCTGCCCACCCTTCTTCCACCTCTGCTCCAGCAGCCACAGCAAATGCCCTGCCCGGGACAGCAACCTGGGGGATGCAGGGTCAGCCCTGACTCATTCCCGGCTGCCTCCTGCCAGCTGGCTGGGTGACCTCCTCAGACAGGTGAATCAGCCTCCCTGTGAGTCAGCTACTCGGGGACTCTCACCTTAAGCAGATGGAGAAAAAAATGTTAGTCAAAGATCATGGGTGGCTATCAGTGGCATTTTAGATGAGCATATGGATGGGTGGACAGATAGACAGTTGTGATATGTGTATAGACATATCACTTATATACTTGCACAAGTGTATGTGTATCTATTCACCATTTTATTGATCACTTACAACCTCATAATAGCCAGTGATCTCATGGAAATTTACCACGAAGAAATGTGCTAGGCATAGAGAGGTGCCTATGCCTTTATGTGCCTGGTTTCATGTGATTCTCCTGACAACCCAGAAAGGCAGGAGCTGTTGGCCCCATTTTACAGATAATAAAACTGAGGTTCAGAGAGGTTAATGCACTTTCCCAAGATCACACAACCACTAAATGACAGATCAGGATCTTAACCCCTTAGTCCTGCTCTAGACCCCCATGCTCCTAACCACTGTGCTATATTTCCCACTGGGTGCCAAGGCCTGTATCCAGCTCTTTATCTCATTCAGTCCTCATTGTCAACTGCAAGATTAAGAAGTATTAATTTCCTTTGATTGATGAGGAAACTGAGGCCTACAAAGGTAAGGTAACCCACCTCAAGACATACAGTAAGTAAGGAGCAGGGATTCTAACTGAGATCCCTCTGATACCAGCATTCTTGCTTTAACCACAGGAAATACAATCTCAGTAAAGCTCCGTACACAACAAAGGCTCAGTAAATACCAAATGAATGAACATAATGCTAGCAGTATTTTAGCAATAACATCGTAGGTTAAAAGATAAAAATTCAAACTGTGATTTTGATATAGATGGAAAATTTTCATAGTGACATTCTTCCTTTGGCCCACGTTGGATACTCTGAGCCAGTCACAGTGCTAGGGGCTGTGAGTGCTATGATGAGTCTAAAATTCATTCATTCAGTGACAGCCCTTGTGGATGCCTGCTCTGTGCGTGCTGGGAATTGGGCTCAGTGCGGAGGAACAGGACGGATGAGCATACAGGCAACTGAATGAGAAGGTGTTACTTTCACTGCATAATGTTGTTTTTCATCCTGTCATTCATCTTAAACTACTGGTCCTTGAAATGAACTCAATGAGGCTGAAAATAGTCTGAAAAACTCTTTACCTAGACAGGCATCTTGTTTGGGGGTGGTATTATTGGTGTTTACACATCCCCATCCAAACAATTGACTGCATCGTTTGCTGATGATACTTAATACACATCAGCCCCCACTTTGCTGGTCGTTCGTCACTGTCCTCACACACCGACTCCTGGCAAGTGCATGCAGCTGGCATGAATGGCCAACAGAATGCTGTCTGAGTGGTGTCTGAGGACCCAGGAGTTGTTGATTTATGTGTTGCTTTCCACCTGTGAGCCTCTGGGATGGACTGGATGTGGCAAACCTGACTGGACTAGGCTGGATTCTGCGGATGTCCTTATCCGTCAGCCATGTTGGCCAAGTTTCTAAAGAATCTGCAGGAACTTCCTCCCAGATCTGCATCCCAGAACCAGATCTAAAGTCCAGTCCCAGACTTATTATCTCATAAGCAAGAGAGTGGTGTGTCCACGTGTCTACTCAGTCATTTGTCACTTGTAACTGTTGTGGGTCACCCTCTTCTGAACAACTGCCATTAACTTATCTTGTCCTTTTGCTTTTCAGCCTCTGTAAGGGACGGACGCTCTATTCTGTTGTGAGGGATGCCAAAATCGTCTTAGATGTCAACAAAACCAGGCAGATTGCTCAAGAAATTGTGAAGGTACTGTCGGCTCTAAGGCCTCTTACCTAAATCTCAGAAGGACCCAGTTTCCCCAGAGAAGACTCCCCCAACTCCGGGCTCATAAGATTCACGGTTGGGTTTTAGACTACCAGTCTGGACTGAAAAGAAATTAGACTTGACCTGAAAAATGCCAGGCCATGTGTAAGAATTCAGCCTAGATATGATCTTTAGGGAGTATCCACCAATGTTTGGTTTCCATCTGATGTCTCATCACCATGGTACTTGGACCTACACAAGGATTGGGGGTCACATGTAAGTTGTTCAGTCCTTTTGGTTGGCTCCACCATCCTTTGAGTCCTTGAATTCCCAGAAGTGCAAACCATCTCTCTCTACTGCTGCTAGGGAAGCAGCAAATTGTTGGGCGTTGTTTTGGATTAAAACAAACAAGAACATCCTGTGTTTTCTGGCAGGTGCCTTATTAGTCAGTTGTACTCAAGCCTTTATTTCTCATTTGAAAGTGTTAGGGCTGAGCTATAAGAAGAAATAAAAGATGTGACTGCTCACAAAGGCAAAAAAAAAAAAAAAAAGAAACCACCATGATTCTAGATGTTCGCCCTTGAACTAGACCTCCAATAGACTCTTCTTTGTGTTCTTAATGAGCAGTTATGAAATATCTCTTTAGGAATCAGTGCCTTCTGCAGCAGCGTAGGTTAAGGTGGTCTGAGTATCTAGCCTTGCAGAAGAGTTAGTTTTTAAAGGGGAAGTAGATGAAAATGGTTGGTCGAATTCCTTTCCTTGGGGACTTCTTTTGTTTCTTCTTCAGGAATCAGATGAGCAATTGGGGATGGCCTTTCTGTGGTCTGCAAGTGGCAATGGATTTGTGTCTTGGGGGCCCTGCCTGTTCCCACTTGCCATGCCTTCCCTGACCCCACCTCCGAGACCCACAGTCAGACCCCAGGCCCTGCCGCTGTTGAGTGTGATGTCATTAGGGAGCCAAATCTTCAGGACAAGGAAAGTGAACTCAAGCCAGGGTGGCAGTCAGTGCTTAGGTTTTTCTCTGGCAACTCCCTGTTTCCTTGTTTCTTACAGGGCATGGGTTACCTCCACGCCAAGGGAATCCTGCACAAGGACCTCAAGTCAAAGAACGTCTTCTACGACAATGGCAAAGTAGTCATCACAGACTTTGGACTCTTCAGCATTTCTGGAGTGCTGCAGGCTGGCAGGTGAGAGGTGGTAGGAGAGTGCAGAGAGCTTCCTGAGAGATGCTGATCAGGAGGTAGGAAGTTAGTCCAAATGGCTTCAGTGATCTAGACTCAGGGTTGGGCCTGAGGCTGCTGAGCTGAGTGGGTCAGCTGCTCTGCTGATGCAGGATGCCAAGGCCATGCTCTGTTTCCCTCTGGTGAGGCCAGGACCTTGCTCACCTGTCTTGCCTTTCAGTGTGTGTGATTGGACACAGAGCATCCCCAGATCTTTCAAAGCCCCTACCCTTGAATTTAACTGGAGGTCTCTCCTCTAACAAGTATTCACCTGGAAGATGAGATCACCCAAGAGCCCTTGCTCAAAGTTTTCTTAGAAATTCATTAATTTTAGTACAGTAAGAATACAGTTAACAGCAAGGTGTTTAAAGTCAGAGGCACCCATGGCCTGACACAGCTCTGCCACTTATTAAGTGCAATGTTCATCAAGCCAAACAACTTCTCTGAACTTTAGTTTCCTTGTCTGCAAGAAAAGTGGTAGATGTGATGATGCCTTCCTCAGTCAGTTCTTGTGAGGATAAAATGACAACACGCATCAAGCAGCCACACAGTGCCCGATGCACCTCAAAAGCTCCACAAAGGGTAGCTGCTGCTGAGTTGTTGTAATTAGTATTAATTTGCATATACCTCCCAGTATCACCCAGGAGAATCATTAACCGTGGTTAAGTAATTAACTCTCAGCCACTACACACCCTAGAGCAAGCCACATTGAGATGGCCACGGGAAAAATAGCTTGATTTCAAATAAACAACCCATAATTCAGAAAGTCTACCCTTGTGACTTTTAATATGGACTGTGCGCTCTCTCTCTCCTCGCTCGCTCTCATTTTAAACCACTGCATTTTTTTTCTAATCCTACATTTTATAATGAATGGTGCATCTTTCCAGAAAGCCCGGCGATTTCTCTCATTTTACTTCAGTTTCAGCTGCTTTTGAGAACTACTGATTTTTTTTTTTTCAGGAATGCCCCAGGGACCCCTACAAAGTGAATCTTATTTGTGCTATACAATATCTTGAATCTATTATAAGTTGTACCATTTGAAATTTGACAAAACTTCATGTAGCTGTTTCTGCGTGATGAGCACCAAACCGAAGCTTAAGTTTCTTTATCCAATTTTATGCCACCCAAGAAAGATTAACCATAGTCTGCAAAATTCTCTATAGTCCCTAAGATAAGGCAGTAAGTAGGCAGTAAATGTATAAATATATCAATAGATGCTTGGAGAGAGTCCCTCAAGTTGGAACCCAAGAAGCCCAGGAGAGCAAGGTTGTGTACAATCCCTTCTTCCCTCTGACTCACCAGCAGCAGTTAAGTTCCTGGTTCACAGGCAGAGAACTCATGCCCTTCCCAGTTTCCCAGTGTCCCAGGGGAACTGCAAGGAAGCACTGGTGGGTGACTTCACTGTGAACCCAAGTATTTGCATCAAGACAAAGGGAGGCCCAGTAAGAGTTTTCTCTAACTTGTTTCTGGGCTCTTTTATAAAAAGCAGACATTCTTCCCTCCTGGTGGCATGTCCAGACCTCTCCCTGTCTCCTCACAAGTGGCTTCTCCCCGAGGTAGAGGAAAGGGATACAGGACCTCTGATTTTCTTCCTGTAAACTCAGTTTTCTGAAGCCACAAGGAGAAGAGGAAGAAAAAGAAATGGAATGGAATGCCTTGGGCATCCCTTCCTTTAGCTCATTCATGGAGACCCAGTGTCAACCAGGAAGTTAGTTTAACCAAGTCAAGGACAAGGTGACTTCTGGTCTCCTTGTCCAGACAGCAGCCCCTCCCACCCCTGCTCCAGCCAGGATTTTAACACAAACCCAGGGAGTACCCTCAGCAACATCTCCCAACAAGAAGTTCACATTTCCCAGCCACCCCCAAGTGGCCATCAATGACTTCTTGTGCTTTTATCCTTGTTCCAGTTACATATTATTGTGCAATGAGTCACCTCAAAACTTAGTGGCTTAAAATAAGTTATTGTCATCCCTCATGGTTCTGTGGGTTGACTGGGCTCAGCTGAGCTCTTGTGCTCAGTTTGTCTGTGCTGTAGGTGCAACCGGATGGGGGCTGAAGTTGGAGACAGCTGAAGGCTTCCTCATTCACACAGCTGGACTGGGCTGGCTAAAACATCTGGAGGGCTGATGGGGTTCTCTGATCCCCCTGCTTTTTCCTCTTCATGCAGCCTCTCTGCATGACTACATTGGGCTTCCTCACACCATGGCAGTCTCAGGGTAACCAAACTTCTTATGTAGCAACTGAGTTCCACCAAAGCAAGGATGTTGCAAACCATGACAGGGAGGTGTAACTCTGGGATACCCCGTGAATCCCGGAACCGTTCCCAGGTAATAGATTTGCCTCAGTATTTATGAATACCTCCAGTGTAGTTCTGGGGATCCACAAGGTCCCCTGCAGCAGTCCAGGTCAGTTTACTCCCTCATGTTTATGAAAAGGTATCTCCAGTAACCGCCCCTATTGCAGCTTAGAGCCCCCAGCGCAGCAACCAGAAACCAGGAGACACCCCTTGAACAAGAGGCATCTATGGCCCTGATCCACAGCCTGGGGGCTGAATTATGGGAATGGAGACAGAATGGAGCTGGCCAGGTTTTGGGCATTGCAGGAAGCAGGGGAGGTCAACTCTCAGGAGATGGGCCTGGAAGTTCTCTCTTTCATTACTCATTCAGCCAGTCAATTAGTATTTAGGGAGTGCATGTATTCATCAGCTTGGGCTGCTGTAACTCAATACCACACACAGGGGCTTAAACAACAGACATTTATTTTCTCACAGTTCTAGAGGCTAAAAGTCCAAGATCAAGGTGCTAGCAAATTTAGCTTCTAGTGAGGGCTCTTTTCCCAGCTTGTAGACAGCCACCTTCTTGCTGTGTCCTCGTATGACCTCTTCTCTGCACCCTGAAAGAGAAAGAGAGAGGTCTCTGATGTCTTTCATTTTCTTATAAGGACACCAATCTTACTGGATTAGGGCCCCAGACTTATGACCTTACTTAACCTTAATCACCTCCCTGTAGGCTTTACCTCTAAATACAATCAAGTTAGGGGTTAGGGGTTCAACATAGTAAATTTGGGGGAGACACAATTCAGTCTATAATACCTTGAGTTAGATTCCAGAAACTTGTTTGTATTTAACACACACCTGGCTCCCTGAGCCTCAGTTTCCTCACCTGTAAAATGGGAGTAGGGGCAGGCACTAATAGCACCTACCTCATAAGGCTGTTTTAATGATTAAATGGGATAGAAATGACAAGGGCTTAGTTTAGGGTTTTGCTCATTTTTTTTCCTTTGAGACGGGATCTCTTGCTCTGTCTCCCAGGCTGGAACACAGCAGTGCAATCACGGCTCACTGCAGCCTCACCCTCCCAGGCTCAAGTGATCCTCCCACCTCAGCCTCCCAAGGTGCTGGGCTCACAGGGGTGCCACCATGCCCAGCTGGGCTTTACCCTTTAATGGTTCTCTCCAGAAATTCTTGTAGAATTGGGGTGAGGTGCCTAGTCTCTGGGGTTTTAAAGACTTATTCTCAAACAGATCTCAGCTCTGTCCCTTTAGATGGGTTATCTAAATGTTTTGAGCCTCTGTTTCCTTATCCACAGAACAGGATGATAGCCATCAGATTGTGGGCTTATGAGGACTAAGTGGGATGGACAATCCGGCAACGAGTAGGCACTCAGCAGGAGTTACCTGCCTTCCTCTCCTACCCTCAGTCAGAGCTTGGGGTATAGGTAGCTCTTGGTGCCCAGCAGAGGGAGACTGCCCACCCCAGCCTGAGGCAGGGATGGGCAGCCCAGTGACGTGTGTTCTGCATATCCAGACAGACCCCAGCATACAACTGTTCCACCGTCATCAAGAAAAGGTATCGTTTTAGATGCCAGCGCTGTCATGCCAGCCTCCCAAAGCCTGTTATTAATCATAATAACCACAATGAAGATGATTTGGGTTTGTCACCAGTGGGCCCATTGCCATGGGAACGGGGCACCCCAGGGTGTCAGTGCCAGGCCTGGCTCCTGGCCCTCATCACACTCACCCCAGGCTGATGGCTCTTGCATGGCCACCATTCCACCTCCTGCCCTGGCCCCAAAATGCCAGTCATCTGCTGACCCCATGAGTCAGGAAGAGGTGGCGGGGTGTTTGCAAAAAGATGGAAGCAGAGAAGCTTTCCTTTGACAGAAGCACCCCAACCCAACCAACCCCCAATGGCCCAGCCATTGCAGGAGAACGTTGGCTGGCCTATGCCAAAAACCTTCATGGAGGACATTTCTACTGTGGGCTCTAGTCTCAACTGCACTTCTGAGTCCTCAAGATAACACACACACACACACACACACAGAGACACGTGCACGTGTAATAATTACATCCAGTGATTGTGTGGCTCTGGCAACTGACACAGTCCTGTGTCATGCAGCGTCTCATTTTAATCCTTGCAACAGCTCTGTGAAGTACAAATTAATGTACCCATTTTACAGATGGGAAAATAGAAATTTGGGTCTCCTCAAGGTTCCATAGCTAGTAAGCAGCAGATAGAGGCTTCAACCTCTGTGGGTATCTCTGATTCTAGAAACAAGAGCTCATTCAACTCTGCTGACTCAAGAGTTTGCTAGTGAGTTTGAGTAGTAGTTTCCAGCACAGGACATGTTGTATTATGTCTTTTGTGTAGAATATAGGAGCAAGTCATGTGTTATTAATGCTGAAATACTGAAATTTGGACCATTTCCTTATTTTGTATAAATTAGAACAATGATTCTCAACCAGGGCAATTTTCCCCCAGAGGACATTTGATGATGCCTGAAGACATTTTTAGTTGTCATGATGGGGGGAAGAGTGGGTGCTAATGGCATCTAGTGAGTAGAGACCAAGGATGCTGCTAAATGCCCAGGACACTGCCACCCAAAACGACAAAGAATGCCCAGACCCAAATGTCAATAGTGCCAAGGTTGAGAAATCCTAAATTAGAACAAATTTAATCGTGTCTGCCTGGCCACATTGCTTTCTGTTGCATGCATGGCCATCTGCTCCTAGCCTGGGAATGCAGGAGGTAGATGGGTGGCTAGCATCCCAGGTGGGATACCTGTGGTAAGCCACCATCCAAATGCAATTAAGAGCTGTGATTGCAGCAGTGACCCAGCTTTGCTTCCTTTCCTACAGTCTCTATTTTGGGTTCTACAAAAAGTTGAGTATATTCAAATGGATGCTACCTTCATGTGTAGGGTGGAGGGGGAATGAAAGATATCTTAAAGAACTGCATGTATGGGACACATCCAACCCCTACCCAGCTAGTGAATGTCACTGCAGCACTGGAATCCTGAGCCACAAACTCTTGGAGCCTCTTTCAGGGATCTTCCCTCCACCCGATGTTTCTAAAAGTGCGATCTGCAAGTTGATTTGGGGGAGGACATGAACAAACATTTTCTTTTTTTTATGGCTCTTAAAAAAATTGTCATTTAGGTTCTGGGGTACATGTGCAGATCATGCAGGATTGTTGCATAGGTACATACATAACAAGGTGGTTTGCTGCGTCCATCTCCCCCATCACCTATATCTGGTATTTCTCCCCTCATTATTCCTCCCCACCCTCCCCACCCCTCGCTGTCCCTCCCCTAGCCCTCCCCACCACTGACTGCAGTGTGCAATGCTCCCCTCCCTGTGTCCACGTGTTCTAATTGTTCAACACCTACCTATGAATGATAACATACGGTGTTTGGTTTTCTGTTCTTGTATCAGTTTGCTAAGAATGATGGTTTCCAGATTCATCCATGTCCCTATGAAGGACACAAACTCATCGTTTTTTATGGCTGTGTAGTATTCCATGGTGTATGTGTGCCACTTTTCTTTATCCAGTCTATCAATGATGGACACTTGGGTTGGTTCCAGATCTTTGCTATTGTAAAGAGTGCCGTAATGAACATATGTGTGCATGTGTCTTTATAATAAAACAATATATAATTCTTTGGGTATATACCCAGTAATGGAATTGCTGGGTCCAATGGTATTTCTGTTTCTAGGTCCTTGAGGAATCGCCACACTGTCTTCCTCAATGGTTGAACTAATATACATTCCCACCAACAGTGTAAAAGTGTTCCTATTTCTCCACATTCTCTCCAGCATCTGTTGTCTCCAGATTTTTTAATGATCAACATTCTAACTGGCGTGAGATGGTATCTCAATGTGGTTTTGATTTACATTTCTCTAATGACCAGTGATGATGAGCATTTTTTCATATGTTTGTTGGCCTCATAGATGTCTTCTTTTGCAAAGTGTCTTGAACAAACATTTTCTATCTTAATTTTAATGTGTATTAGAAAATCACTAGTCTCCATTTATGGCCACACTAAAGAGTGACCTATTCAAATAAATTTAAGTTAAAAATGCATTTCTTAGACTATAATAATCTAGAACAGTGTTATGTAATTTGGTGGCCACTAGCCAGATGTGGCCACATAAATTTAACTTTAATTAAAATGAAAAGTTAAGGGCTGGGAGAAGTGGCTCGTGCCTGTAATCTCAGTGCTTTGGTAGGCTAGACTGGAGGGTCCCTTGAGGCTAGGAGTTTGAAACCAGCCTGGGCAACATAGCAAGATCATATAGCAAGACCACATTCCTACAAAAAATAAAACAAAATTAGCAGAGTGCAGTTGCTCATGCCTGTAATCCCAGCCACTTTGTAGGCTGAAGATGGGAGGATTGCTTGAGCCCAGGAGCTCAAGGCTGTCATGAGCTATGATCTCGCCTCTGCACCTCAGCTTGGGTGACAGGCTGTCTCAGCAGACCCTGTCTCTAAAATAAAAAAATAATAATAAACATTCAGTTCTTCAATTGTAAGCCCCATTTCAAGTGCTCAACAGTCACAGTGGTTAGTGGCTGACACATGGACCATATAAAGGAAATTTCTGTCATAATGGCAAGTTCTATTGCACAATGCTGCTCTTGAAGGTGTTTAGATATGGCCACAATCATGATTATGGGATATGAATGAGTACGTTTGAAGGAGCAGCATGTCACATCTTATACATCTCAGAAAGCCTCCCTGGAAGAATCCAGCCAGCCCCAGGTCCCCACAAAGACCTTCATGCTGGAGGCTGTCATCCTGCATGACTTCAGTTTTGATGATTCAAGATATGTACCCCCTTCCCCGTGACGGCTCCCTTCCCCTGTGTTAATGAGCCAGTTCCTAGGAGTCTTGAGTCAGTGAAGACCTCACAGGGGGTCTGCTTAGATTTCAGTCCCACATGGAAAGCTCTGCCTTGCTAAGGACTTCCAGTGCAAGAAGGGAGCCAGCCTCCTTCCACATCTAAGAATTTATCCTAAGGAATAAGTTAATGTGGGTGAAGGGAGATAGTCCCAGTATCTACCCAAAGATGTTCATGGCAGCATTGTTCACAATGGTGAAAGGGAACTGCCCGCCCAAGGCCCATCAGCAAGGAGTTGGTTATATACACTGATACATAGGACGGGATGATGTGTTCCAACTACACTGGTGTTCTTTAGGGTTCTGGAACACCCTGAATGGGGCCAATGTTGGACCTTTGTCCTAGCTTCCCCTCTGCCTAGAATATTCTCCTTGTTCATGTAGCTGGATGCTTTATGTCACGTAGATCTTAGCTCACAGTTTACCTGCAGTAAGAACTGTCATATCTTGGATACATCATCTTTTAATTATTTATACAATGCTTATCATGATCTTTAATTTTTCCTACTTATTGAATTCATTTGTTGTCTCCTTTCCGTACCAAAGTGCAAGCTCTGGGAGGGAAGGGACCTTGTTGGTCTTGTTCCATGCCAGGCACAAAACCTAGGCATCATAGGTGATGACAAAACACAGTGGGTTATCATTATTTGTAGATTCACTGAAATGTATTTATAATCCCCCAAATCAGCACTCACAGCACTTTCATGGTTATTCAGGGACATGCAGAGTGGGGAAAACTTTGAGTTGCCTGATGCACATGTTCCCGGCTTAGGTCAAACAAGAGGATGCTCAGCCTTATTGTTTCAGCCTCATACAGAGAACTCTGGAGGATGGAGGTTGAGACAGAGTGGGCAGCACCAGGTAGCATAAGAAGCTGTAGCTCCAGGGCCAGTTGAATGAGATTTGAATCCCAACTCTGGCACCTGTTAGTAGGGCTGCCTCAGACAAGTCACTTAACACTTCTGAGCCCCATAGTCTATTATGTAAAATAAAACAGAATCTATTAGGATAAGTTGTTTTTAGGAGTTAAAATTAGAAACTATATGAGGGATGTGTGCGTGTGTACTATTTCCCCAGGAGCAATGATTCAGTGTTCTGCTAATTCCATGTTCCAGTGACTTTATAGAACATAATTGCCATGAATAACAAGAATTCACAATGTCATTAAATGAAGATGGGCAAGAAGGTAGGTGCCTCAGAGGCAATGGAATTTGATGATGGTTTGGGTCCTGAATGTTTCTTTAGAGCAGCCTTCCCTGCCCTCCTACTGGGTCTCAGACTCCAGTAGATGGTTAGGCAGTAGTCAATGGGGGAAGCAAGAAGGCCAGCAGAGATGGCTCCAGGGATGTGGAGTCAGTGCCACGGGGACTGATCCTCCCTGGGCTATGAAACTGAGCTCATCCTGTGCTTTGCTTCTCCAGGCGGGAGGACAAACTGCGCATCCAGAATGGTTGGCTATGCCACCTGGCACCAGAGATCATCCGCCAGCTGTCCCCCGACACCGAGGAGGATAAGCTCCCCTTCTCCAAACACTCTGATGTCTTTGCCCTTGGGTAAGTGGGCCCTGCCCTGGCCATTGAGAGCCACAGCCTGGGCAGAAGGGCACTTATCAAGTCTTTCAATGCTTTTGGAAGGGCCAGGGTGTACCTGTCTACAGGGCCAAGGTGGCTGGATTTTTGATGAGAATGGAGGAATCTGAGTAGGATATAGTAGAAAGAATGACCTTAACAAACCTGCGTGCCTGGTTTCTAATGGGTTATGCAGACGTAACAAGTTACCCAACTCATTTACTTATTCAATAGCTGTTTGTTGGCTGCCTGCTATGTGCTAGAATTGTAGCAGATGCAGGGGATACAAGATTCAGTCTTGTATCAGTTACTACTACATAACAAATTACCCCAAAACTTAGCCACTTAAAACATTTTTATCTCAAGTTTCCGTGGTCAGGAATTTGGGAGTGGCTTAGCTGAGTGGTTCTGAGTGAGGCTTTTAGGAAGTTGCAGTCAAGATGTTGGCTAGGGCTGTGGTCTCATCTGCAGGCTCAGTGGGCTGGAGATACATTTCCATGGTGGCCCACTCACGTGGCTGTTGGCTGAGGCCTCACTTCCCCAACCCTTGGGCCTATGTATAGGCTGCTTAAATGACTTCACAACATGGCAGCTACAAGCCTCATTGTCATTAATGATCTAGTCTCAGAAATTGATTTATCATCACTTCTGTCATATTCTGTTTGTTAAAAGCAAATTGCTAAATCCACTGCACACCTAAGGGGAAGAGAATTAAGTTCTATCTTGTACATAATGGAGTATCAAAGAATTTATGAACGTATTTAAAACCACGAGAAGCCCCTACTCTCTCTTTCTAGTGGAAGGCAGATAAAGAAATATCCAGCGTTAGCAAAGTATGATAAATGCTATTCTGAGAATAAACACAGGACTGTGGGAATTAAAAAGGAATCAAATCCAATCTGGGAGGGCAGAGAGGGCTCCCAGGAGATGATGATCCTGAGCCTAAGTTAAAGGTTGAGTACAAGGGCAGGGTGAGGCGTTCCAGATCAAAAGAATGTGCAAAGAGGTGCAAAAATAAAAGAACACTTTTCCCACATGAAAAAATATATAGAAGGGTTGGGAGAGGAAAGGGAGCTGATGAATGAAGAGTCAGAAAAAAAATTAGGCTGGGCGTGTTGAGGTAAGAGACTAGAAAGGTCAATCCTGCAAGGACTTAGAGGTTGAGTTAGGCATTTTTATTTCATGTTCAGTGTACTAAGGAGACATTGATGGTTATTAAGCTCTGGAGTTGGGGGGAGTGACATAATCCTAATTTGAGTTTTAGATCAATCAAATCACTCTGGCTGCTGTGTAGAGAATGAAATGAAGAAAGAGAGGATGAAGGTTGGGTGCCCAATACACAGGGAAATGCTGGCAGCCTTCACTGAATCGGAGCCTGTGGGTATGAAAGCTGAGAATGGACATCAGAAGCACACATAGGAGGTGGAAGCAATAGAGCTTGATCATGGATTGAATGTGGGTGGTGCCTACGTAGCTGCCTTAAGTAACCAGGTGGAGAGTGGCGTCATCCACTAAGGTTGAGACCATGGAGGTGCAGCAGGGTTGGGGTATGCCAGAAAGGCAAAGAGGTCAGGTTTGGACACAGTGAGTTTGAGCTGTCTTGGAGATGACAAATGGAACCACCAAAACACAGCTGCCTTTACACATCTAGTATAGAGAAGAAGAGTTTAGGATTTGTCAGCAAATAGGTAACTGCAGCCACAGACAGAATGAGGAGTCTTTGGAAGTACAGAAGAAGAAGGACCCAAGACCCCAGGATGCAGGGCAGAGTGGCCTGAGAAGGTACAGCCAGAAAAGCTTCTAGGCTCCCATGGCCATGCAAATCCTTGCCTAACCTTGTCCACAGGGTGGTTGCAAGGGCTGGGGAGAAAACACTGGGAAAGCTGTTTGGGAAAGTTGGAGGCCTGCAGATGAGTGCAATTAGACTTAGCACCACTGAGAGATGTTACAGAGACATTTATCCTTGGATAAGGGACCCCACTGCGTCTTCACTGAAAAACCCTGAGGAGACGTTTTCCGGAAGATCAGAATTCTCAACATCTGTTGCTTGGGCCCCTTTAGAGGATGTCAGTTGGCCTGATTAGTTTATGTCCAAATCTTTATCTAGTTAGATATTGTTATCTGAAACCAAATTGCAATGATTAAGTTGGTAGAGTTTAGTGCAAATTTAGCAAAAGAAAAAAAAATATGATTAACAAAATGTACCAGTGTAATTGGTTTTCTGCTGGAGTTTTCATCTTCAGCAATTATTTTTTCTTAAAGTGAGTTTCTCTTGAAAATTGGATTTAAAAGGAAGTTTTAATGAGGCTTTTATTTCTGACACTGCTGAATTCCGAAGGACCTGGCGCTCTGGGTTTCCTGCCAATTAGGTGCATCCTGTTGCTTGGGAACCTCGTGCTCAGAAATGGCTTAGAACAAAAATGAACTTTTTAAAGAGTATTGAGCACTATGTTAAGCCTTTTATGTGCACTGTCTCACAGAATTTTTATAAGCACCCTTTGAAGCAGATACCATGTTGCTCCCAATTGACAGATGAGAAAACTGAGGCTTCAAATGGCTCAGTGACATGCCTTACAGTGACTAATGATGGTGCTTAGAGTCACCTGAAATATCCTGTACTTTAGAATTGGAGCTTTTAACCATGGAGCCCTGATGGGATTGGGATTTATTTCACCACTCAAAGCACTATTTCTCTCAACTGCAAATCAAGGATAATAAACCCATTGGGGTGTTCTAAGAATTGAGTGAGAAAACATTTGTAAGGTACCCAGCACAGGGAGGAACTCCTCAAAACACCCTTCCCCCTTTCACATGAGCGGTGGATAAGTCTGTTTATGCCTTCTTCACCAGACTCCAATCACCAGCTACAAGCTTGCACCTCCCAAATTATGCACTTTCCTGATGACAAAGGACTCTTAAATAGGATGGAGTCTAAGCTTCCTAGCATAGCACATTGGCCAGTGGTACAATCCTGGACTCAGGTGGACTAAGTTCAACTTCTGGCTGCCCTTCTTGTTTGTTGTATTATCTTGGGAAAGACATATAACCTTTTTGGACCTCAGTTTCCTCATCTGTGAAAGGGGGATAATGTTAATAATAATGCCTCCTGTTTTAAAGTGTAGGGTTTGTTATTATTCAGGTAGCATGAGGCCAACAGATCAGGAGACAGTTGCCATTGAAAAGATGGTTTATTACTCACAGTTCTAGAGGGGGACGTGACACACCATGCAATGTCCACAGCGGGCAGCACCAGGGTGGGTCTGGAGGCAGAGGAAATGGTTGGAAAACATTGGGAAGGGCTTTTATTGTGGTTTCCTTGGGAAGGAGCAGGGAAGGCAGGGTAAGAAGGTTTAGGATTCGCTTGTTTGAATAATTTCAGCAGGCTCTGGCCTGTAGGACTAGGGAATATTGGCCCAGAGCTTGAAAGCCCAATTAAAGAGGTAGTTGGTAATGTAAGTATGAGCTCTGGATTATTTAGTTTGCCTGTGAAAGGTGCACTCACAGGTGAGCCCTTTAGTATCTCCAGGAATTGGCTGTTCCTGGAAGGGGAAGACCCTCCAGGTTCAGCAAACCCCAGAGTAGTCAAAGCATCAGAATAAAAAGACATGCTTAATAGATCTCCCTCAGCAAAAAACTTAGAATAGTGTCTAGTGCAGAGTAAAAACTCAATAAGCATTATTATTTATTGTGATAACTATAATCTTCCAGCACCTTCTCTTGAGAGCTTTCTGACCATCTAATTTGACATCCCAACACTTGAGCATCACCACCCATTCCCCATCCCAGAGGTATGAGGTTGTCAGGTAGAAGGAAGACGTAACTAAGAAGTGAAACCCTAGTAATAGCTGATTTGACACAGTGCTCTGATCAGTGAAAAGGATAGCAGAGTGCTTTGTGTTCTTTAAAGCAAACTTACATGAATTAGAGTGGAGGAATGATCACTTTCTAGGATTGTTTCAGATATTTCTTAAGTTGGGTAATCTTGTGCTGAAAGCACTGACACCTGTCCCCATGGTACAGCTCAGTGACACCCCAGCATCCTGTTTCATCCACTGGAGTCCTCACTGCTGTTCACACTTCACAGCATCACTTATGCACCACCTGACTCATCACCCCATCCATGGCACATGCTACTTATTGGAGCAATCCTTTCTCCATTAATTGCAATGTCATGATTTATGAAATGGAAGATAATGTAGTAAATATCTAGAATAATCCTAGCCTGGAGTTGACCTGGCATTCAGAGTCCCAGATAAACATCCTTGCACTGCAGTGTTATCATTATTCTCATTTATCAGGTAAGAAAACTTGCACTCAGAGAGGTGAAGTGACCTACCCAGGAAACCTACCCTATTATACTACTAGTATAATAGAATCAGGACTTGAACCCAAGTCCGTGTGAACCCAAGCCACTCTCAAATCTCTTTTTTTCTTTCCACTATTCCACAGGATGGTTTATATTTAGGGGAAAAAAAGTATAAAAGAAAAAAATTCTAATCTGTCACCAAGAGTTATTGTTAACATTTTGCTATGCTTTACTGTATTTTCTTGTTTGTACCTCTATAGTGGTTTTAAAAAGAGCAATCTCAAACTTTACATACAGTCTCATATCCTGCTTTTTAAGACTATATATTGAGCTTTTTTATGTCAGCAAAATTTCTTTGAAATGTTTTAATAATAATACAGAATTTCATTTTATTTTATGGATTTACCATAATACATCTAACTAATTCCTGTTATTGGACAATTTTGTTATTCCTACTTTTTTCAATATCATATATAATGCTCTAGAGAATATCATTATAAATAAATTTTTGTATCCCTAATTATTTATCTGCAACGATATCCTAGATTCATTACAAGTAGAATCAGGGGCAGAGATCCTAACCACATTATATTTAACTATTCATTAGAAGATATCCTGAGATAAATATGACTTCTAAGACATTAAGAAAGCTTAGGTGTGTCCCACGTGGCAAAATGCCAATCCCATGAGGAAGAAACTGGGGAGAAGAATGGGTGCCAGGAGGCTGGCTGGGTGGGTGTGGGTACAGGGATGCAAGTGACACACCACACCAACACCACTTTAACAACGTCTGCCAACAGCACAATCTGGTATGAACTCCATGCCAGGGAGTGGCCTTTCAAGACCCAACCGGCAGAGGCAATAATCTGGCAAATGGGCACAGGCATGAAACCCAACCTCAGCCAGATCGGCATGGGAAAAGAAATCTCGGTAAGTCCCGAGATAGGGCCAGACCTGGGAGATGAGGGGAGACACAAACATAGTCATGGGTCTTCTTTTTATTATGTGTTAAGGTTACAAATGCTTTCCCATAGGGTGACCAAAAAAATATGCATTTCAACCTTGTCAGAAGTTTGAAGCTTGGAAGGCAAGGTTGCTGCACTGTGCCTGCAATTTCAGGTATCTGCCACCAGGGGCACAGTAACACGTGGTCAGGTTTTTCCTAACTATGGATTGCTGAGTTAGGTAGAACCAATATATCCCTTTTTTTCTGGTATTTTTTTAAAGATATTAATTTAAAAATCACAAATATTAATGTTCTAATTTTATTTGCATCTACATGATAATTTTAAGGCATTATCTAACTCAGAACAAGACATACAGAAACAGAGAAGCCTGGGTATATATTAATATTAACAATCTTCCTCTAAAACACAGCAGGAAGAATCCTTTTTTGATCAGAAGACAGATAAGTCAGAGAGGGAGTAATTACCTTGTATGTTTTTAAGAATTACCTGCACCTAGGTGATGAAGAAATTACTAAAAGTAACTTTTCTCCTCTGACTTTGAAGGCCTCTTATAGTATTGAGATATGGATGGATGCCCCAGGATTCCCTTTTATCCCTCCTCTTAAGAAAATATCAAGAAACTCTTTGGGGATTATTACTGATCCTAGACTTTCTATAATAGAGCTTACCTAGTTGTTATTTGGGCTCAGAAAGTAGATGGGAAGAAGGATGGATGGATGGATGGACCGATGGATGGATGGACAGATGGTGGATGGATAGATGGATGGATGGATGGACTGATGGATGATGGAGGAATATGAAAATGGGGCAGATGAGTGGACAAATGGGCAAACCCAATGAGATGCCAAAGAGTAATCAAGAAGTCACCGTTTATGTGTAATTACCATACATTGGTTTCATTTAGGACATTCTTCTCTTCTGCTGGGCCTTTGAACAAGAAGAGAGACCTACCTTCACCAAGCTCATGGACATGCTGGAGAAACTGCCAAAGCGAAACCGCCGCCTGTCTCACCCTGGACATTTCTGGAAGTCTGCAGAGTAGGTTTTCCCACTTAGCATCTCTCCCCACTGCCTTGTCCTCTGGCCCTTGTTACCTTTTTGATCCTCTCTACACCTTTTTTACTGCTCCCCAACAAGGTCCTATCCATGTGCTCACCCTTCATCAACCACATTCCCCACAAGGTTTCTGTTCAGTGGAGTCTGTTTTGGGGTTTGGGTCCTGGAGTCTGTCATATGGGGTCTTGGTTTTGGCAGCTACCCTGGTTTTCTCATTTCTTATATCTTCCTGATGAAGATTGATGCCCCAACGAGTCTGAGCATCATGCAGTGAGGTGATGTCTGAACCTGCCAAGCCCCCCATATGGCAGGTATTCAGAGTACTCTTCCACGAAGCCCTGCTTTCAGGAACTCTTCCTTCTGAGGCAGCAACTTGCCCCTGTCATGGCAGATCAGTTTCCAGCATTTTCTATTGCATCAACACTAGAGCAGGAAAGGCTCTCAGGTTCTTAGCACAAGTATCTCACTGGCTTCCTCATAAGAGGCTCCAGACCATGCTCCTTCCCCTTGTTTCTGGCTGGAGATAGGTAGTTCTATCTGAGATAATGAGTGTGGCATCTCGTTCTGGGACTTCCTCACCAGCCCCAGCTTCCATGACTGAACTCTCTAGAAGGTAAGAGGGAGACAGGCCCAGATGAGGCTACTGAGGGCTCCCCATGGCTCTGCCAGTTGCTCCCAGGTGTGCATGGTTGTACACACTCACACAGACACTCTCAATTACTCACACACATGCAGACACAGGAGCACACCGCTGCACTCAGATCTATTACACACAACCTTACCCAAGAACGTTCCATGAATGCACACCCCTTCACCGAAGGCTGCGTATGTAGGCAGACTCAGGCACATACACAGGTACACAATCCCATTGCATGGTACATGAAGACGTGTATATACACACTTGCAAGGCAGTACCCACAGATACAAATACCCCCACCTGTGCGCGTGGTGTACCATAGCAATTGTCAGTCTTCCCATGAAGATCCCCAAGGCAGTGTCCTAAAGAGCCAATGTCCCCAGGGACTGTGGACATTAGGAGGCTCTTTTTTACTCCCATTCACTGCCCTTTTTTTTTTTTTTTTTGGTGATTTATAATTGTTTGTTCTTTTTTTTAATTGCACTTTAGTTTCTGGGATGCATGTGCAGAACATGCAGGATTGTTGCATAAGTCCATACATGGCAATGCGGTTTGTTGCCACCATCCCCCCATATCACCTATATCTGGCATTTATCCCCATGTTATCCCTCCGTAACCTCCCTACCCCCTGCTGTCCCTTCCCTGTTCCCCCCCCCCACAGACCCTAGACTGTGATACTCCCCTCCCTGTGTCCATGTGTTCTCATTGTTCAACACCCACCTATGAGTGAGAACATGCAGTGTTTGATTTTCTGGTCTTGTGTCAGTTTGCTGAGAATGATGGTTTCCAATCCCCTGCCATTTGAGCTTGCTGAACCTGGAGGGTGGAATCTCTTCTTCCCCCAGGGGCTTATCCTTTCCCCAGACCAGCGGAAGGAGCATAAATTTTACAGACCGATGTAGATTGGAATTCCCACTCCACTGCGTGATAGCTGTGTGGCCTTGGGCACGTCACTTGGCCTCTCTGAGCTGTAGTTTCATGCTCTGAAAGGTGACAGCAGTGAAACTGCTCTAGCGGAAGTACTGTCCCATGTGGCCACAGGTAGAGCACCTAGTTGCAGGTGCCTCCTACATAGCAGGTACTCACTGTAGCAGGTACTCAGCTGCCATCGTCTGCCAGGAAGGAGAATGAGCCCTATTCTGGCAGCCTGGCAGGATTTACAATGCATTGGATATGAAAACAGACAGAAGGAAGCTTTAACAAGCAAAAACTCTGCCCAGCTAAAGGAGTGCTGGCAAGTTAGAGAATTAGTGTTGGAACTCCAGGCAGGACCCAGCAGTGCCTGGTGTTACAAAACCCTAGGGTCACAATTCAGTGACCTCTGCTCTCCTAGGGGCCAGAGAAGAGAGGGTAGGAGTTCAACTGAAGAGAAGGACTTAAAGTGTACTGGTTGAAGGGAAAGGCAGGAGGCTTCACTTTATATATTTTACTGTGGAGTTGGGCTGAAAAAAAAACAAAAACAGAGGACCAGAAACTTGTGGTCTAGCAGAATGGGATGTTAGGTTCAATGGAATTTTCCATTCATTCCCTCTTCCATTCATTAGTTTTGTTTTCTTTTTTTTTATTCAGCCCATTTGTGCTGAACATCTTTTATGTGCTAGACACTGTTCTAAGAGTGAGAATCCAGTGCTGAACATAAATGAGTTCTTCTGGCTGCAGTGGACATCAAAGTCTGCTCATAGCAGGAGGCTGTGGTGTGGGTCCCAGTCCCACCCCATCTTCCTGCAACTCTAGCTGTTACAGAGCTTCATCCCAACCCCACACACTGGATGACTGACCACTCCTAGTCCTTGCCCAAGTGGGAAAAGTTCTGGGTTCAAATTCTGACCCCACTGCTTCCTGGCAGTGTGTCCTTGGGCAAAACACCTAACCTTCTAGGTCTCAGTGTTTTCATCTGTGAAATTGTATGATTTCATCATAGAAGTTCATCTCTGATTACTTTCATATGTGAAACTATTCATAGCCTATATTGCAGGCTCGTCTCAGGCTTCAGTGAGATCAGGTATGTGTGGTACTTGGCACAGAACCCAGCACATAGTAAGACCTCAGTTAGCAGAAATCTCTTCCATTTCTTCTTGCAGAAGACAGGAGCAGCTCATCTCAAGCCACCTGGCCCTCTGAGAGGGAGCTCATTCACAACAGATGACATCATCACGTCCTGCGATGTCTCACCACTCTCTCCCTTCTCTCCCCACTCCAGGCTGTGACCTTTGGACTCCGGGACGGCACTCAGCTGCCTGGGCTCCCGTCACCTGTCCCTCCCTGCTCTGTCGTCTGCCAGCTCCAGAGACCAGAGACTCAGCATCAGAGGGCACTGACCCTGACTGACCTGGGAGCACTGGATGACTGCTCGGCAGCCTCCCTGCACCTCCGACTTGAGCACTTTTCCTCGGGCAGGGTTGGGGACCCCCAAGCTAGGACAGAACCGGACCAGCCAGGGTGATGCGGTATTGATCAGTGCGGCCTGGGGAACAGCACAAATGGGAGCACTGCTGGCTGCATGTGGTGCCTTTGGGCTATGGGACTAGGACAGGAGGCCCCACGTGGGCGGGCTCGCAGACCGGGCTATGTGTGTGCGTGTCTGTGTGTATGACACTGTTCACTCTCGTTTCACCTTGACAAGCAAGAGCCAGACTGTCCCAGTGATGGGGCGCCCCTCAGTTGTTATGTGTCTGTGTGGTGGGTTCCAGCTGTCTGACCTGGGAAAGTAAGAGGCAGGTACAGAGCCAAGCGCCAGCTTAGTCAAGGCTACTGAGCCAAGATCGAGTAGGGAAGGCTGGGGGTAGCTAAGCTTGTTCCTTTGGAAATATATGCTTTCAGACACCCCAACCCAAACCTGTCGTGGTGTGTGGCACCTTTGCATAGGGCTCCGAAGTACAGTAGGAAAGTTAGAACGTCTTTTGAGTTCTGGGTCTCTCTGGGGGACCTATTCCCCCAGTTTTGCCTCACTGCCCCCACCTCCTTGCGATTTGGAAAACCAAGATGACTTCTGGGGGCTCCTTAGAGCTCACGGTCATTCAGGGCACCCCCTGAAGTCTGGGCCCTGAGAATCGGACTCTGGGCAGGGAGTCCTAGGACATTCCTTTTCTTCCTTCTTCTCTACTACTGACACCAGTGAAGCTTATCCCCCCACCTTGGTAGATGTGGGTCCTTGGAATACGTCCATGTTAGGTTATGTGGCTGTACATATGATTACACGTTTGCAAAAGATTTCCCTGCTTTTCACCCTTACGGAGTCCTATTGAGGGAACACAAAGGGAGGGTGTTTGTTAAGGTTCTGCCTTCTCCACTCTAGCCTGGTGCAGGGTCCTCAAGTGGCTTCCCCATTGGGAGCCTTTGTTCTCACCTGTTCCCTCAGTGCCCACCTTCCCTCCCTCCTCTTGCTCCCAGCCTGGGCAGGCGACTCTTCCTGACCATGTTGGGGAAACCACCGGCGTTCTGCAGGAAGGATGCCAGGAGCAGGCTGGGTGTGCAGAGCTATGGGAGAGGAGAGCCTCTGGGTCATTTGCCCATGTTTTCAAAGCCCTGACCCCCTGGACATGACCTGGTACAAAAGGGAAATCTGTCCCCAAGCAGAGCAATAGTAGGGGCATCTGGGCAGTGAACAGGAAGCCCAGGGTAGTCCACAGCCCCTCTGTATTTCCCAGGCACTGCCTGGGCCCTAGTTTTCTTGTAGCTGCTACCTATCCAGGCATCTCCCTCCTAGAGAGCCAAAGAGAGGAAGTGGAACTTCAGACACGCTACCTGACCTTCCTCTCAAAATCCAAACAGACCTATGGGGATCTGTTCCCCACCTTGTGTGGCTCCCAGACTGGTTCATGCTCTGGGGGCCAAACCTGCTTCCAACCCGGGAAGAATGATGAGACCAGTTCTGCTTCCCAGGAGCCTGGCCAAGGGAGACCCCTGTGTTTTCCAGAGATCCCTCCTGGATTGCCTTTCCAACACTCCCAGCTGTTTGGGATCAGAGGACTAAAGACCCTGGCTTGGGCTGCTCCTAAGTGGACATTGCTCTTCTGGGGACATCTGTGGCTCTTGGTTTAACATGTGTGTGTATGTGTCTTGGAGGCATTTTATACATGTTTGCCTGAGCCCCAGCCACTCTGGGGTTGCTGGGGATGGCGCTTGTCAATGGACACCTCTCCATCCCAACACAACACTCTGCGTCCCAGTCCTGGGCCTGGATTTGCACCTGCCTTGGCTCTGCCCAGCAGCCTACTGAGTGCCTGAAACCCAATCACTCCCTTCTCTTCCATCACAGCAGGACTTCTTGAGTCCACGGGCTCCCGTCTTTGTCATGTTCCTTTGTGCCAAGAGAGAGGCTACGAGGAAGGGAAGAGGCAGCCAGGGTCCATTCCCCTGCAGCTGAAATGTCCACAAGAACGCACCTTCTCATCCTTGCCTCTCCTGTTTCAAGAATTAAGTAAAATGTCCAACCACAGCCTTTGGCAAGGCCTAACATGGTCTCTAATAGTTGATTTTTCCATTCATTCAGGAGCACCAGTTTGGGATTAAGACTGACAGGGCCTGAGTGATCCGGGGAGAAACCCCAGCCCTTTGTGGAACAAGGTTCATTGGGTCCATCCCCGAATCTGTGTCTTTTGCTCTTGACTTCTCGATCCTTCCCCACTTCTCTACTCTGTCTCTACCTGCATTGGTCTCTGCTACGGCCAGGCCAGGCTCCTGGCCTTCAGTCCCTTCCTGACACCCCTACCCTCCCCTGTCCCCTAGACACTGCCCTGACTTGTTGAAAAGCCAGCTCTAATTTGCAGACATTTGAATCCAGGAAGACCCAAACCACTGCCTTCCCTGCTGGCCTCCATCTTTATTCACTGAGGAAGTATTGGGAGGAGGTTATATTCATCTTATGCAGGGAGAGAGGAAAACAGAGGAAAGAGGCTATATATTTTTACATTGTAATTTCCAGCCTCACTTACAACTCATTCTATACAATCCACACGGCCGAGATTTGTATGTTTGCCCTTATCCCATCACAGCTGCACACGGGTGCCCAGTACACATAAGTCACTGACTCAACAGCAAGTTGTTCCAGTCTGTCTTGCTTTTAGCAAACCCTTATATATACAGACTTCCCAAGGGGACCAGTCCACAGGGTGAAGATTCACCAGGAAGCCTTGGCTTTGCAGAGAAAAACATCTCAGCTTTCTTTAAAGGGCATGTGGATTTGCACATAAATTTCACCTAATTCTTCTAGGACACAGGTTGTTCATAAAACCAAGGATCTTCCTTCTTGGTCTTCTGTGTGGGAACATGCCCCTGTGTCCATATCCCCAGAGCCAAGCTGGAAACCCAAAATCATTGCTTAGATCCATTTTGTCCTGGTATTCCTTTTACTGATCAAAGAGAAAATTTTCATCTTGCCAAGGACCCCCCCACCCCATCCTCACCCCATCCACTTGTCTCCACAACTACCTTGGATTGTCAGTCAACAGAAGCCCTTGACTGATATTGATCACTAGACTTTTGTATCCAGGAAACCTAGTTCTTCCCTTTTTCTCACCTCCTATGCCATATACACACATTATGCCCCTCTACACGTACACACAAAACCAGCCTTCTCTCACCTTCTACAATTCCTATCCTGACCTATGCCTGATCATCAAAGGTACGGGGAGGAAGTCATGGACACAGGGCTCAGGCCAATCATTATCAACCCAGGGTTGCAGGCTACCCCTTATAGGCCATATCCAGCCTGCCAAATGGTTTTTACATGTTTTAATTGAGGAAAAATCTCATGACATGAAAATTTTATAACATTCAAATTTTATGTCAATAAACAAAATGTTATTACAGCACTATCACTTCTCCATTTATGCCACCACGGCTGCTCCTGTGCTACAGTGATGGAGCTGGCTATTTGTGACAGAGACACTGTGGCCCACACAGTCAAAAACATTTACAATCTGGCCCTTTCCTAACTTCACTAACCTTTGATAGAGAGGATTGGATATGGCTGTCAGGGGAGGAACAGGAGCCATGGGGGAAGTTGCAGGGGTGAGAGAAAAATCTTGTTTCAGTGGAAGAAGGCCAGCTTGCCCCAAGATGCAGCAGCTGCCTCAGGAAGTAGAGAACTCCCTCTCCTTGGAGAGGGTGGAGCAGATGTTGACTACTTGGCATGTGTGATATGGAGGCAATTCAGGCCCTGAAAGCTAGATCAACTCCCTAGACTTTAAGACTTGTAATTTGCTAAGGTGGTTATGATAACAAAATATCACACACTGAGTGGCTTAAACAACACGAATCTATGCCTCACAATTCTTGAGGCTGGAAGTCCAAGATCAAGGTGTCAGCAGGGTTGGTTTCTGGTGAGGCCTCTCACTTTGGCTTGCAGACGGCTGCCTTCTGATTGTGACCTCAAGTGGCCTTTCCTCTGTGACTGCACATCCCAGTATCTCTTCCTCTTTGATAAGGACAACTGTCTTCTTAGATTAGGGTCCTACTTTTGACCTATTTTAGCCCATTACCTCTTTAAAGGCCCTATCTCCTTGTCCAGTCACATTGAGGGTTTGGCCTTCAACGTGAGAATTTAAGCAGGACACAATTCTGTCCATAGCAAAGACGCTTGATATTTCCAAGGCTCTGTGATTTTACTCTCATCCCTGGCTTTCTTTCCCCACACTGTTTCTCAATCTTGGGTCCCCAAATATGCCCTCCCTTTCCTCATCCTGTGCCCACCTTCACTTCACCCATCCATCCCCCACAGGCTGGTCTTGTTCCACTGTGCTCACCAGTATCCCCCAGCCCCCCTCACCTCTGTGAGGCTCCTAGAACTGCTGCAACAAACCACCACCCACTGGGGGCTGAAAATAGCAGATATATCATCTCTCACCCATCTGAATGCTGGAAGTCCAAGATCAAAGTGTTAGCAGGGCCATGCTCCCCCTGAAATCTGTAAGGGAATCCCTCTTGGTGGCTTCTTAACCTCTGGTGCTTTCCTGGTCATCACTGGCATTCCTTGGCTTGCAGCCGTGTCAGTCCAGTCCCTGCCTTCATCATCTCTGTGTGCGTCCGTATCTTCATATGGCCGTCTTCTTATAAGGACACAAGTCATATTGGATCAGGGGCCCACCCTACTTAAGTATGACCTCATCTTAACTAATTATATCTGCGATGACCCTTTCTCCAAATCAAGTCACATTCTGAGGTACTAGGAATGAGGACTTAAACATGTTTTTTTTGTTGTTGTTGTTGTTGTTGTTTTTTTTGGTGGGGGAAGGATTTGGGGAGACCACAGTTCAACTTATAACACCCTCTAAGACATTTTCTCTTGTGCCTTGACTGGTCCCTCCACTGCAGCACCCAGGTCCCCTGGAAGACAGATTCCCCAGACTTCCTGGTCCCTGAGGTCAGGCTCTTGCTGTCATGCTTACCAAGCTTACTACAATCAACACGTCCCATCACTGACTTCCAGAAGCCGGGATCTCAGTTCTGTGGCTGTGGGGAACAGGCTGTAAGTGGCTGGTCTGTAGTAAGACTGTCACTTGACCCCTGAATGTGCTTCATAGCCCCATCCAAAGCGGTTGGTGACACAGCATCTGATTTGTTCTATACTCTCATTCACTGACAAAGGAGTGGACTTTGATGAGCTACCTTTTGCTGTTTCCTTTTTTGGCTTTGCCTGTGATGTGGGGAAGTTCCCAGGCAGACTCACACAGCCACTTTCCCTGGCTCCCAGCCTCGCCTCCTCCAACCCTACCTCGCCCTCACGTGCACACACCTGAAAAGGAATCGCCTTGAACTCCAATGGGAGTGACAGGCAGCAAATGTCAGTCTGGGATTTGGAATGTGGGGCCATAGTGAACCTCTGTCCTCTCTGGTCAGTGCCTATGATATTAACCCAAATCCCAGACTCCCTTCTCGAGGCTCTGCAATCCATGGCCATTCCATTACCAGTTTAATTTTGAAAATGGTAGTTGGGCAGGAAGCTGGTAGAAAATCTGCAGTCCCAGTGGCCTCCTGGACTTGTCTTAATGGTACCTGGCACATAGTAGGTGCTAAAAAAATGCTTACAGAATGCAGACAGAAAGGGTTGCTGGGTAAGAATGAGGCCCTGGCACAGGGAGCTAGAAGGGCACCATTGGCAGTGTGGTATCAGGATTCCCCTTTGCCAGACAGTGTTGTGGGTGCTACATCAACCCCAATGAGTTTGCTAGGTTTGTTGTTGTTTAGAGTTAGAGTCTTGCTGTCACCCAGGCTGGAGTACAGCACGATCATAGCTCACTGTAGCCTCGAACTCCTGGCCACAAGCAATCCTCCCACCTTAGCCTCTCAAGTAGCTGGTACTATCAGTGCACATCATCATGCCCGGGCAATTTTTTACTTTTTGTAGAAACAGGGTCTTGCTATGTTGCCCACACTGGTCTTGAACTTCTGATCTCAAGCAATCCCCCTGCTTCATCCTCCCAAAGTACTGAGCTTATAGAAATAAGCCAGTGTGCCCAGCCAGTTTGCCAGGCTTAATATCTGTGACGTATATAAAGTGACGCATTGGGTCAGGTGACCCCAGGATGTGTAGACCCTAGGAGGCAGAGTAATGATCCACCATGAATAGCCTCCGCTCACAGAGCACTTGCTACATGCCAGGCTGGAGTTCCTATGATGGTTCTGGGAGAAAGGTAGTCTTATTCTCATTTCAACAGGGCAACTGTGGTACAGGGGCAAAAAACAACCTCCAAATTACAGAGCCAATGTGTTAAAAACAAGTCATTGGGCTTGTCCATTTCCAGGAACCCACATCCAGGTTGAGTTCATGACCAGCTGCCCATGGGGATGTTACAGTCCCAGCCTCTGAGATTTATTGGCAACTTGGAACCAGGAGAGAGAGAGGAAAAGCAGGAAGTTGTGGAAGGGAGGGTGCAGGGGCCAGCAGGGACCCTCCTGGGAGCTTGCACGGAAGCTTGCACTTATGTTCTCAAACTGACAGGCTGCCAGCAGCAGCCTGGATTTCCAGGAAACGTACGTCTGGGTTGGCAGAGCCCCTCCTGGATCCCTCCAGCACCCCTGCTCCAGGCTTCCCATCCCGTCCCTCTCACACTGGGCGTTGAATTGTGGTCCTGTATTCCCGAGAGGCATCCATTAGTAAATGCTCTTCTCTCTCCGGAGTGGGAAAGGGCCCTTCCTTCCCACTCACTGGGATCATGCAGCTCCCATTTTCTATCACCAAGAATATGAAGGATTCATCTCATGGAGTTGAGAATGGCTGCCCTCCTTCCACTGAGGACTGAGCCGGAGGAGATGGACTCTGCCTAGAAGGTGCCTGATCTGAGTAAGACCTTGCTTCCCAAATGTGTTCCATAGACTTTTCATTCCATGGAAAACTAGCTGCATATTGCATTACTGAAGGGGTCCTGGGACACGTATGCATTGGAAATGCTTATGTAAAATAAGATGAAACTAATTTCTTGATTGCAGAACTTATCAGAACTTTTAAGACACTGTTGTATGGTTGAATCTCTAAATGGCTGATAGGAGGCTGTTCTTCCCAAGCTTTCCCAGGCTTGTTTCTGAATCTCCAACAAGGTCAACCTCTGTGAATGAAACCTCATACCTTACCTGGTACTGGAGGAGGCAATGTCAATGTACTGGCCCACTGAAAAGAGCTGACCACCAGCGTTCATAGACCCTGCTAGGAGATGAGAAAGGTAGCTTAGACCCTGATTCCATGCATGCGGCAGTGGCTCCATGAACAAGAACACCACTTCTGGCTGATGGTGTCTTCCAACGGAGAGGTCAAATTTGCTGTGTGTTGGTGGCTTCAACATACCATGGCTTGGAAGCCAATGTGAAAATTATATAAGGTGTCACACCCTCAGAAGGCTTAGCAAAGTTTTCACCTGAGTTTTCATCTTCAACCAAGTCATTGGAATGATGATCTAGAAGGATCTCTAAAAAATCTAGAAGGATGAAGATCTGGTCCAAGCAGTGCAAATATGTAACAGCTCTACCACCAGCATCCCGTCCTGTACTCTTGGCAGGCATCGCTAATCCATCACAGCATGCCTTCCCACTGTAGCCTCAGGGCATTTGAGTTACCACTTAAAATGGACATGAATGACCCTCCCGTATCTCATACTTCTCCACCTTTTGGAGAAGCAGGATCTGAGGCCCAGAGAGGGAAGCTGTAATAAACTCCCCTGAGTCAGGTCCCTTCTAAGAGGCAGAGGTAAGTTTGGAACTCAGGCCTCAAACTTCCAGAAGCCTAGTCATTTGGGCTGTAGTTGGTGGACAGCCTAGCAGAGCCCTATAGATGTCTCTTCTCAGTTAGGGAACTTGGAAACTGCAGAAAGAAAGATTCTGTCCTTAAGACTGTGTGTATGGTCCTACGCGGTAATCTGCCTGCTTGGAGAAAAATCATTTATCTTCTGGGACGGCTTCACCACAAGGTCTGAATGCTACCCCCAGTCTAGTAACAGCTGGGCTGGAAGTGGTGGCATATGGGGGCCCTAAGGAATAACGGTGTGCGTGGTGGTGTGCCGGAGAGCTGCAAGGGCTTTTCTTTCTTGAGGAGGTTTTTTAAAGTTCTGCAGTTCAATCTGGGCTTCTGGGAAATCAGGGGATGTCGCATATGAAGGGCAGGAAAAGGAGCCTGACTCCAGTTGCTCTTTGGTTTCTTCCATAAATGAAAGGCTCAAAACCAAGTTTCCACCCAGATAAGATCTTGGGGTCCTAGTGGACCACCAGCTCTACTCCTGAGTTCTTGAAATCCCTCTAATCACCAACCCACTGGCTGGGAGTATCTTCTGTCCACTGCCTCTTCTTTTCCTTCTCCTCTTCACTTACCCGCCGTCTACCTTTTGCCAGATAATATCTGCCCTGTACTGCGAACTGAGGAAAAAGTTTCACAATTGTATAGATGAAAAATAGCTGCCATGCATTCAGCTTAAATTAGCTCAGAAGAACGGCTCCCTCCCTCCAGTGAGCGGGCAGCAATTGTTTATGCCAACGTGCTATTTGTATCGCGCCTTCTTAGATTTGAAAGTCTAATGATTAAAAACAAATCTTAGTTTTTCTTTTCCACCACTTACAAGAAAATACCAGCTTGGCTAGTTCTTCTAGTTTAAAAATACCCTGACCTCCAGCACTACAGTGAGAATTTTGGAAAGGCTGGTACCAGGATATCAGGAGGAAATAAATTCAGGCCGACAATAACCAGAGAGGCCTTTTCTGAGTGATGGGCGCCGGGATGATCAAGGTAGAAGAAAGGTCTTTGTGTCCTCACATGGATACTAGCATTCTGGGTTTGTTTGGAATTCTGAAGGGTTATTTCTTCACCAAACGTTCATTCAATGGGTGATTTATTGAGCATCTACTTTGTGTTAGACCCTGGGCATTCAGTGATGAGTGATACAAAGTCTCCCTTATTCTGAAGCCTAGAGCCCAATGGGGAAGAGAGACAAGAACCAAGCCAACAACAAATATATACATTTGCAGTTCATGTAGATCCATGGAAAGCAAACTCATGGGGGACCAGAAACATGGGAGAGGATGCTACTGTGGGAGAGCTATTGGCAAAGATCTTTCTGAAGAGGTGACATTTAAGTCAAGATCTAAAGGAAGAGAATGAGGAAGAGATGATCATTCAAAGCCAGGGTTTCTCAACCTCAGCACTGTTGAGCTATTTGGGGCCAGATAATTCTTTGAGGCAGTGACTGTCATTGTAGGATGTTAAGCAGCTTCCTCAACTCTCCCCACGAGATACCAGTAGCACCTGGTGCTGGTGACATCCAAAAACATCCCCAGACACACCCTGACTTTGCTGTCGGGAATCAGTCCTCATAAAGCCCCAAACCTTGGAGCACAGAGGCCGGAAGCCCATATGGTGGCATTTCAGGCATGGTGTCACCTGAGCTTCTCTGACCCCTACTTCCAAGATGGCATCCCATTTGGAGTCTCTATTCTCCATGAGCTTCCATAGCTGTCCCATATTCCACAAGGCATTGCTTCTGTGCCACATCCTCTGGTTCCACCATAGCCCTTTTTTGGGTATACTTTGACATCCAAAGAGTGACATCCAAAACTGTCTCCAGACATTGCCAATGTCCCCTGAGTTGTCTCCAGGCCACACCACTAGGATTCAAATCCAGCATCCTGCCATCTGCAACCTTTCATGGGGGAAAGGAAATCAGAGGGGAACAGAAAAACACAAGGAGGAGACTCCTCGAGAAAACACGGCAGGGAAATAGGTATTTAAATAGCACTGTTTAGCATCGCCAGTGGTTTGAATGCTCTCTAGGTAAGGACAGTGTGGACCTGCCTTTCACCATCTGCATGGACAGGGGCTGAAACCTCCAATCATTCTCTCCATCCTTCCACAGCCCTCCTAAGAAGCAGATCCTCTTGCTGAACTGAAATCTTGAGACTTGCATCCGACAATCCTGGTATTGCTTTCTGAGGCTACTCAGGGAAAGCCCCTCTGTATTCCCCAGGAAGGAAAGTCCCCAGATAGTGAAGGGCCTTTTCCACCTTCTTTCCAATTCCCAGTTCACTGTGAAGAAGTCAAGCCAGGTTAGAATGGCTGTCTCTGGTAGCAATGAAGCAACAACACAGACAGTCTGGACAAGATGTGGCAGCTCAGTGCAGTCCCATGTGGCTGATTTGGGCATGGAGACAGGCAGTGTGTGAGGATGGCCTCTGTAGGTCCAGCCATTTTACCCCTAGAATCAAATTGTTGGGGCTTCCAGCAGTCCCAGGATTGGGAAGGGGAACAGAGAGGAAGAGTCGGGCATTGCAAAAGACCAGATCTCGGAAAATTGCTTTGGGAATTGGGACACCTTCCAAGAGACAATTAAGTTGGCTGGGGTTCTGCCCCTGATGGAGTTAACCTCTCCCCAACACAGTCCTGCCCAGATTGGGACATTGGCAGCTTAAGTGCATCCTGGACAATTAATGTAATGTATTGGTCCTGTCAGATTCTAGGCATTTCCCTCTGCTTATTTTTCTACATGTGTTATAAGTAATAATTTGTAAATGGGTACATATGAACTTGTGAAAGTTCAA